TAAAAATTAATTACCATCCAAAGTTTACCCTGTCTTAGTGGATCATATTTTAAGGAATTAATTTAAGGCACGTAAAAAAAAAAAAAAAAAAAATATATATATATATATATAAAGAAAATGACAATAGCTTGGGGCCAAAATTCCATGTGTGTGCATTAATTACAGAGTCAGAAGAGTATTAATTAAACAAGTTTACATGGCCATAATTCACATACTAAGTATTAGATATTTGGTTGCCGGTGGGTCACAACTTAGGGCCGGCAAAATGTCACCAGCACAGCTTTTTTGCTGCAAACTATCAGATATTATCCCACCCAAAAAAAATATAAAAATGTCAATTTTTTAGGATTTAAATGGAAAAAGTAGTCTTCATCAAAGGAGGTGCATCAATTAATTAAAACAAAATAATACTACAAGAGTTTATAAAATTCCACTTTGATTTTTATTAAAAAATAAATAAATTAAATATGAGTAGTGATCCACCATATGCTTTGAGTGATATTTAAAAACTATTTATTAGTTGGGACACTATATATTTATTTCTTAAAAGTGTAAGAGAATGCTTGATTTAATTTTGGATATTGTTGTTTATGAGAATATTTACCCACCCTAATCAATACATCATTAGAAAATTCACTTAATTAAGAATCATGATGTGATAATTAAATTGAAAGAATTTCGAAACCAAACTTTGGATGATCTGAACTCCTGATTTCAAATTGTTTATAGTTGAATTGGGCATTTTAGTAATAAGAACTAAATTAACATTTGAAGCGTACATGATTAGACACTTCAAGATGTTAGTTTAATGGTTAAATAATTTGTAAATCATTATTTAATAGCGATAATAGGTATTAAAACAATAGTTAGTATCGTATGAATTATTTTGCAATTCAAAAATTTGTGGGACAATAAATCAAAGGAGACTAATCATACCACTTGATATATCAGGGTAGATATTGAAATGCTATACATATACATGTAAAACTAATAATAGAAAATAAAAATATGACTTGTAAACTACTAGTATATTGAGACTTATTGCAAAGCATCAAAGATAACATTCATAACAAAGAGGAGTTGTCATTATTGCTTAAGAAATAAAAGCTATTAATTACTTTAAGTTGCACCACTCAATCCAAACTCCTTTGAAATCAATAGAAGCAACATGATGGGTATTAACTCTCTAATACCCAAAAATATATAGTGTTCAAAAGCAAACCATTATACTTTTGAGTATTAAATTATTTTTATATAGATTTATATATATGTATTTTATTAATAAATAATTTAGTATGCCTATTAAGCTATATTTTAAAGTTATTTTAATCTATGGAATAATTTTATAAATGGCTTGCTTAGAAACTACAAGGAAATTGTTTGAAAATCTACAAGCTAAAATTTTAACTTATAATTTTAAATAAGTTTTATGATCTATTATAATTCTAATTTATAGATTTATTCCCAAAATTGTATAGTATTATGAACTCTAAGTAAGCTAATTTTTCCTTATCTTTATGAGCATTATAAACATGATAACTTGAGGTTAATTATTACTTCAAAATTTCTTAAAAAATTAACAACTGTTGATACAAAATTATTATTTACACTATTTTCCAAAATATACACTATTTTGCTTGCTTGATTTACATCTTTATTATAATTCAAATGACCAAATCCATTATATTAAATACTAGAGATTTTATAATGGCCAGATACACATGTATGTGTACCACTGACATTCCTAAAATGAGACAAGAATCTAAACTCATAGCATTACCTTAAATGAGAAATCATATATCTTGTAAATGTGAAAGATGTGAGCAAGTATCTACTCTTACTACAAATGGTTAGTTCTATAAATGAATTATTTGATGTGTATCCTGCATGACTAATGAATTGGTTACCCAATCAAGAAGTTGAACTCTATGTTAAGACATTGTCGTGTACATTTCCTATAGAAAAGCTTCTTATCATATGGGGCCAATAGAGTAACAATGTCTCCTATGCATGAGATTGTACTTGTGACTGTAAGCCTGAGTGTTTACGCACAAGCAACCTCTCCATCCTTATCTACCCTTAGGCTTATACTTGTCTATTTCACCATTTTTCATCATACCAGACTAAAGTTTGACAATTTTATAGCCTAAAAAGGCATCTAGAGTTAATTGTGTGCTAATGTAATAAGTTTAAAATTTCCATAATTAATATTCAAAATATGGGGCAATTGATATATATATATAATATATATATATATATTTGATCGCCCATGAATTTTAATGTAATTTGGATGAGATAAGTTTGAGTGAGATTTAAGATTATATGAGCTCTAATTTGAAGCAATTTATAGTTGAACTAAGTGTCTTGACAAAATAAATCTAATGTTGTTGAAAGTGAGCAACTTAAATCCAATTGAGTTAAATTCTAGCATATGAATTATGGTTAGATTTTTTTTTTTTTTTAGTTGAATGACCAAATAGTTTCATAATCTTACGTATAGTTTAATCGAGTGTCTTGTTGAGAGAAATCCAATGGACCCAATGTCACACAATTTTGGGATTATTAAGATACTTAAATGGTAAAAGAGTAACTCATAATTAAATGAATTACCATATGTTATCTGATGGAGTATTTTAGAATTTTTGCTAGATCTACTGAAAATTCACTTTAAGAAATTATAAATGGACCGAAAACTTGAGTTTGGATAGAGCCTGGAAATTCAAAGAACATTAGAGCTCTACTTAACATCCAACAGTAACGACACTAGTGAATGTCATCGTTCAATCATGACAACTGACGCTCGACCACCAACATCCGTATATTATTATACGGCCATTGTCGCCTGACTATCTCTGAGCAACTTCCCCCAACTATCATTATCTGACAACTGTTGTTCGGACCACTTTATTTGTCCACCAATAATCAACATTTTATAATCACTATCAGCAAATCATTATCATCAACATTATTGTTTGAGCATCTTTGTTTGGTTACCTTTATGTGATTATCATCACAATTTCACTATCATCTACCACCATCACCTAATCGCTATCATCACCACATGAATATCTATCACATCCACCATCTCACGACTGTCATCATTCTACAAACATCACTCAAATGTTATCTTCAACCCACAATAACTTCACCATAATCATTAAATAACAAGTCGGTGCGAGAGTATATCACTCTGTAATCTCATCAACTCTAATTAAGGAGAATGAAAGACTTTTGTAATCTCAACAAATATGTTTGGAATAAGTAACAGGCATTGTGAATTTTTTTTCCAATTTAGAAATTTCCATATAAAAAATTCAATGATAAAAATAAATAATTACTTTATTTAGAATTTCTATATTTAATCTCATATTTACATGGTTTTTTTAATTTATTTATAATATTGAACTCACCAAGTTCAAAACATCTGTTCCATCAATTAATTTAGCATAGAAGCTCGAACAATTTTTTTCCAATTTAAGTTAAGAGGAGTTTAGGTTAGGCTGTTCGCCTATTGTTGGTTACAACCTAACGTCTCCCTTCCCCTCCGATGGCTTCCCCAACGATTCGGAGCTTTTACAGGGAGTAATGTAGGCCGTCCGATATCATCCATTACACGTGCTGTCATCTTCTCTTCTCTCCGCATCTTCGCTGCCATGCATGGATTTCTCCCCTCCATCCTCTCATGGCCAAATAAAGCACCGCTCTGATATTGAAATCCGCTGCTATCTCTCTCACACGCACAGAAACGGTGGAAAACAAGAAGCTGAGCAGAGCTGGAACTGAACTGGAAGAGATTGGTTTGCTTCGAATTCCGAATGCGTTCTTATCAGATCGATTCAAACAACAAGAAAGTTCGAATTTTTTCCAGATTGCAGCAACCACTTTGAGTAAAATCTGTTCTGCTCAAACCTTCTTCTCTCTTGCCCTGTTTTGTTCTCCCCGGTTTTAATCTGATGGAAGCACACTCCTGCAAAGTTTGCAAACGAACCTTCGCCAATAGTAGATCTCTTGGAGGCCATATGAGGTCTCATTTCTTGCTGAAACGTTCATTTAACCTCGAGAAGAGCTCAGAGGGCAGATATGGTCTCAGGAAGAAGCCGAAGATATCGCAGTGGTTTGGTGATGAGGATACGGAGCAAGGGGAAAAAGAGTCATGGAGTACTAGAGTTGATGATGGTCAAGAAGAAGAAATGGATATGCAAACAGAATGCCAAGTGCCCAGAAACAAGCGGCAGGGAAGGAGATCCAAGCTGATTGAGGCACTGCTTGATTCTTCTTCTTCCCCTGAACCTACCTCACCAGAGTTTGGTGCCTTGTGTCTAATGTTGCTCTCAAGAGGCGAAAGCTCTGTTGCAGAAGAAAAGGAGATAAAGATATCGGAATCTGATATTTTCAGGATTGGGATCAAGAAAGCTGACTTCATTCCTTCAGAATCTGGGTTTCGTCTTGAAGAAAATGGTGTAGAATTCACGAAAGATGTGAATTTTGCTGCTGTTCCTGAATCTAGGAAGAGAAAGAAATCAACAAAAAGGGATTTTGATACTGAAATTGAGAAGCGAAGCAAGTACGAGTGCCTAATCTGCAGCAAGAGCTTCCCTTCCTACCAAGCTCTTGGAGGCCACTGTTCAAGCCATAAGAAGATCAGAGCAGAATCTTCATCTGCTGTTGCGGCGGTTTCAGTACAACTTATCTCTCAGAAAGTTGGAGGCTATGTGTGCCCAATTTGTAATAAAGTATTTCCATCTGGGCAAGCTTTGGGTGGTCATAAGAGGTCACATCTGATTGCAGGCAATTCTGCTGCTTCTGCTGCTGCGATCTCTACAGAAGTAACCTGCATTGAGCAGAAGAATTCAAAGCTGAATTCACTCGATCTCAATCTTCCTGCTTCCGATTTCGAATTTTGTGACAGTTTCGATTCTAACGGAAGCATTGCTGAAGAAAAGCCTACATCTTTTCAGGAAAATGCAGACTTGGAGCATTCACGATATGAAGCAGAATGCTGAAATAAAGTAATTTTTCATTTGGATTTTCTAATTTGAAGCTGCAGATTATTCTTTTATTGTTGCTGAATAAGAGCAGCTGATAGCTCAAGTGATATAATTTTTTTTTATTTTTTTATTTTTTATTTTTTGGTTCTGTGATATTTACAGCAGATGGTGCCATGATTTTCTGGAAGTCTTTTCAAGTTGTGGAGGTTTTTCTGAGCTGATTAAGAACAATTATAATTTTTTTTTAATTTGTGAGAATATTCAATTCTGGGATTTTATCATTTTAATGCAAAACGTGATTAGACTCATTGGATCAAATTTTACATAAATTTTGGTCTGACACATTTGATAATTTTTTTAATCAGCCATTTGCTGAATATTTCTCTGCATTCACTGTAATTTCTAAATGTCAACTTTAATTTCCTCATCTTGAATGTTTCAATTGTTCATCTTCTTGAACTGTTGGTCTCTCAGCAAGACAGACATGATATTAAGAAAAGCCAATGCTAACCAAACAAAAACATTTTTTTTTTCAATATTATAAAGCTTCTGCTCATAATCTATTAGATGTAATTGCAGTAAAATTTCATTTTTTATCAAATTAGTGGGGTTTGCAAGTAATCATCATCATCTGGCTTAATTAGTTAATGTAGATTGTCTAACCCCTTAACAGAAATAAATATTAGTTGGAAAAGGACCTCAAACTGGCTGTTCCACTGTCCTCCAGAAGACAAGCAGTTACAATTTGACAAAAAATATAATTAAAAAAAGTAATAGCATTAGTACAAAACCATAATCAGTTTGATTAATGACATATTAAAATTAATTGCTAACAAATTCTTTTTTAAAAATTAATAAATTAAAATTGAGAATAATAATAATAATAATAGAGACATTGAACAAAACAAAAAAAGTATTATGATTCATGTATCAATATCTGCATGAGATGAGAATGGAATTAATCTGTAATGAACAAGTCATGGGAAGACAAGAACCAATTTGATCCACAGAAAAGATGAAGATTTATCATTACTATTCTTATCTCCATTTACTAATCAGTACTCGAAACATTGTTATTTACAAAACCAACTCCCTTTTTCGCCCAATTTTCAAATTCTCGTTCAAATATCAAAATTCACAATAAAACCCAAATTCAGATTTTTTTTCATTTTGATCGTGGTTTACATAAGTGCTTCAAAAAAAATCACCTTCAAGCTAGTTTCGAAAATAGTAATATTTTAAATGCTATGTATGTAATTATCCTTACAAATTATTAAATTACATAACAAATTTCATAAGAAATTTTGGATTTTTAACAGAAGAATGTATTTAGCAATGACTGGGAAGTGGGAATCAACAATGTTCATGTTGGATTAGTTTTAGTTATATAGGCTTTCAAGTGGCCAGTGCTGATAAGCTGGAGACAATGGGCTGTGTGAGGAGACAGTCTAATTTGATGAACTGATCAAAGAATTTCAATGAAAAATCCCAAACAACAGTAGTGACAAATGCTAGAGACTTGAAGACATGGAACTGCAGTCTTTAGTCTAATCAAGTTTTTTCTACATTTGGTTGATTCTAGTAGTAGAATATGAATCTGTTTGTCATTAGTGGCAGACTCTTAGCGGATTTTTATCACCATACGAGTCAAGTTGTGTCTGCTAAAATCATTATTTTTTGGTAAAGAGTTCAAGGAGAGGGCTTGCATAATTTCACCGAATGAATCATATGCTATGGCGTGTGCTAAAACTGTTAGGTGTGGAGTCTAATTGGAGCACCCATGAGCAGCACGTAGGTTGACTTTCTCACAGACAATGCTCCAGGCACCTTCGAGCCAGCCTATGGGCGCTAGCGCCCATCGTGTGTTCTCAAACCGAGCAGGTGGAAATCCTGCATCCATTCTCGGCGCTTAGGCACTCACTTCTAGCGCTAGGGCGCCAGGTACCCGAGAGCTCGGTGCCTAGTCACCAAGTTTGGGCGCCTAAGCGCCTAGAACAATTAATAATGAGATTACAATTTTTAATCACGATTTCAAGCTTCTTTGTTGAGTTTTGCTGCTTCATTTTTCTGTATTCTTTGACAAACATCCCTGTGAAGGTGGGGAGTGTAGAAGCAGTTGATTTCAGTAATTCGATGAGATTGTTGCGTCAGATCTAAAAGGAAATTATTGGTGCAAGTCCTGAAAGTTTCTTCGTGTGAGTGTGGAGAATATACTTGTCCGAATTCTTTTCTAAAACTTTCTCAATTACATAGTGAATTTTGTGGTAGTGTGGCTCCGTGATTTTTTTTCTTGTTCTCGTATTTTTTCACGTAAAATTTATGTGTTTTTCTGGTTGCTCTTATTGTGCTTGTGTTTGAATTTTTTGTTCCAATTTTCTCTAATCTTGTGATCATATTCTGCAGCGAAATTAAATAGAGACTCTTTCACGGTAGTATTTTTAAAAAAACTTAATTGTTAGATCCTGAATTGTCCGTGAACACACACCACCTAAGTAGAAAGTTATGAGAATTTATTAATTAAGATAATAATTATAAGATTTGATTGTCTTGGGTTGTGCACTCCAAATTCTAACCTTGAGCTTCTATTTATATGTTTAGTTGGTATCTATTACACTATATAAATGTCTCCATAAAACAAAAATAAAATACAATGTAGCGCAACATATGGCTTAATTCGGCTGAACGGTGAGTATACATTAGCATGCAAAATTGGCTAGCTTGCTAGCCCAATTGATGAGCATCAGCTTTCAACTTGACCAGAAGAAGCCAATTACATCGGTTTCATCGAGCTGGCTTGATCAAATCATCTACTGTTAGCGCAGGAGGCCGATCTCCCGCTCTGCCTCCTATGTTTCGCGAAACGGCGCCAACTCCCGATCCCGCTCCCGATCTCAAAACCCGCGAATCACTCCCGTGCTGGGTCGCAAACTGTTCCCGCAAACAGTTCGTTATTTTGCGAGGAGTCCTGTCTGTCGCAAAAGTTCTTTCTTGTTCGTGATAAAAGACTTCGGACAACTTTTCTCCAAAAGTCATGGTTCTTCTTCTGGCTTCCTCGCGATAGGAGGAAGAGAAGTGCAAGTAGTAGTTCCTTGCTGTAGAAGGAAGAAGAAAGAATGAGAAGAAGATTGTTCTCCCTTGCTTCTTCTTGGTGGCTTATGCCAGAAGAGAAATTGAATTTATTTCTCTTGTAAGTTTATCTTCTTCGGTGTATCTCGGTGTAGAGTTTCTTCGGTGCATCTCAGTGTAGAGAGAGAAGAATAGAGAGAGAAAAAGAGAGAGCAACGAAGTGAGAGATTCCTCTTGTAAGTCGAGGTGATCAACTGGTGTAAATTCTTTAAGTAGTAAAATTCTCTGCAACTCCGTGGACATAGACAATTTGTCGAATCACGTAAATCTATGTGTTCAGTTGTGTTACTGTTTTCTGGTGTGAATTTTCTGATTATATTTTATAATTTAAAGATCGTTATCCTATTTGATTAATATATATACCATAACAATTGGTATATAGATCTCGCAACAGCAACCAGATAAAATTGGCATGTAAAATATGCTAGCTTGAATTCTATCACAATTCACAAGCACACCTATTTCAGGCCTTAAAGATCCTTAAAAAACTTGCATGAATGAATATGACCAAAATTCACTCATTTCTGCTGTAAAAGATCCTTAAAAACTTGCGTTAAGATTGGAGACTCTGCTAAAGTTCAGCACTTGAATGAATCAAACAAAAGTCCCGTTGGTCTGCCTTGAGAGAACTGAGGACTCCATAGAGTTCTTAGGTGCTCTAGCTATTCTCTTTCCAACATTACTGCAAGCACTTCACTTCACGTGTCTCCTCTCTTCCCCTCCACAAACAAAACTTTAAAACACAGACCCGCCATTCGATCATGCTCTCAATCTCAATCAAAGCTTCTCATCCGTCCGATCATTTTTCACTCCTCCCCCAACCTTTGTGTTCAAGCTAACCAAAATTGCAACTTTAATTACTCAGCCTTGTAGCCTTTTGAAGACCGATTGCTACTTTTCTTCTCATATCTCTCTCCATTTTTTTTTTTTGGTTCTCTCTATACTCTGAAATGAAAGGAATGAGCAGGCCCACTTCTCTCTGTCTTCTCTTCATGGTCTTCTTCCTTCTCTCAGGGCCTTCCATGGCTGCTTCAAGAAAAGCTCCTCAAAAAGAGAATTATGATCATTTCCTCCTAAGGAGCTCGCCGCAGACACGCTTCCAGCCGCCACCGCAGCCACCGCCGCACGAGGAGATTGACGAGAGGTACGGAATAGAGAAGCGGCTAGTGCCATCCGGTCCCAATCCACTTCACAACTGATTATCACAATTCCACGCCTTAATAAGATGTTTCCACAGTTTAATCTGCATGTAAATCTGCAGTCTTTCTTCCTTCTTTCTGTCTTAAATGTCTGCTTCTGAGTTCTTTAGTGTTTGAGAACCATGATGCTCTTGAAGAGAGAAGTATTAGCTCTTTTTATTATGCATTAATTTGTATTATTCTGTATTGATATTATGTTAGTATCAATACAAAATAATACAAATCCAGTGCAACAAAAAATGAAGGACTCAGAAATCAGGAGTTACTTATCAGCACTGTAGAGTTCAGGAAAAGCTCATGAGTTCATTTAATGGAAGGAGGTAGAAGCACTCAATGCAGCACCTTTCTGGTGGGGCATCAATTAAGTGGCTTTCAATGTATTCATGCCATTGCTAATCTTGCCTTTGCAACTATATTTTGGGTCGCTTGTACCCCTCTCTCTGCTCACTTTTGGTTTTACTTTCTTGGTTTTGAAGTTTATATATATATATATATATTTTTCTTAGAAACTGCCAGTGTATTTTACTATTTTAGAAGGTAAGTGGAGATTATTTTTGGGAATATTGTGTATGAATTGCAATTGCAAGTGGAAAAGAAAATAGGGCATTTACATACATAGCAATATTCTTATGAGTTTACTTATCTAAGGCTTAAACTTTGATTTTTGCATTTCTACCACTCAATTTTCTGGTAACACATTAAAAATATTGTTGGCATCGATTTTTTGTATCACAAA